TTTTTTTTGTGGGAACTTTTCCAATTCGATATGTGAAAGTGTATTTTTTAATTAAATAGAAGGGGAAACCACAGCATGTTTCTAACAATGTTTTTGCCTGAAACCTCAGCTTGTGATGTCCATACTGTGATATATTATTTACTTCTGAAGTGACACTAGTCTTTGGCTGATATCAGCAGTTATCACATTTGACCTGCTTTTAAATCATGCACAACATCTGGCGGCTGCACACACAGTCTCGTCTGTGGACCAAAAAGTGAAATCCATGCGTCACGTCATAAAGACCGAGTGGATTAAGTGTGACTTTAAATGGATGTATGATTTACTATAGTGTAAGTATCCTGAAGCATAATCTCCGCCCTGCTCTCTAACGCTGCGGCCTTGTCTTTTAAGAGTATTAAACAGGGCTTTTCATTAATTATTCACTCTTAGGTCAGTGTGGATTGGTCGTCAGCTGCGATGTTTTGGTCATGTTCCCGTTTCTTGTGGTCCTGTGCAGGAGGACTATGATCAGGTCTCCTTGGAGGAGCAGTTCTATCCAGGTGACGGCAGCATGATGAGCCCCAAAGCCAAGCTGCTGCTCCGAGAGTCCAAGAAAGAGCTCCTGAGGTTTGTAGTGTGATGTCACCTTCACATTTAGCTGCCACACGGTCCGTTCAGAGGTCAATATGATTCATTCTGAAGACCTTAAAGGTACAGTACATGTGACTGTGACTGATATGTCCACAGGTTCATGTGGAGAAGAGTTGTTTCTATGTGAAAGTGAGTCTCGCCCTGTACTGCTGACCTTGTACACGCTGAATGTACAAACTCTTCACTCTTGTAGTTAGAGTGCATGCTCTGCTGGGTCCCTCCCCCCCTCCCCCCCAACCCCAGGATCATAACAAAAGGACAAAGTAGGATCCGCTGTAGTTTTTTTTTTTTTTACCACACAGTACACCCTCCTCAGTGACAGTCGGAGGCAGAGACATACAGTCAAATCAAACAAACCCCATACCTGGATAACTTGGTGCACATTCTAAAAATGCCACAAAAAATGTAAATCAATAATACACTTTTTTAAATTTTATTTGGCTTTCAGTGTTTTAATGATGATGGACTTAGATTTAGACTAAAATATTAGCTATAGATATATGCAATAATCCAGAGGACCAGTACTGGATGGTCGGCTCGGTTATATAAATTACAATGTATTCATAATAGAAATAATAGAAAGTGCATTTACATTATATATACAATAACACAATTTTCTGGCAACCCCAGAGACATTTATATTTTATTCTATAATTAGTTTTTGATCAATACAGAGTAGATTGTACATATACTATGTTGTACTATAATAGTACACAATGTCACATTTAATTTTCATTGTCTTTAAATTTTTTTTTTTTTTTTAGAGTGTACCAAGTTTTCCAGGCGCAGGGTTGGCGACTCTCTACTAAACTTCCCGCTGTACTAACTCTTTATGTCTCTGTTAATGCCCATGAAGAGGTTCTCAGTGTGAAAGAAAAGAGTCTGCTCCAGCTTTGCAGATGTCTGAGAGGAAAAAAAAGAGTAATCTACTGTATGTAGTAAAAGCTTTGTGTTCTCCTGCAGCTGTCCGACCCCAGGCTGTGATGGCAGTGGTCATGTGACGGGGAATTATGCATCACATCGGAGGTATTGAAATTAATTGCATTCTTTGTTAGCACTAGCCGGGCAGATGTACAGTTAATGCAAACAGTGCAGATTATTTTAATTGATTTCAGATGCGTTCAGGTGATTTTGGGTTATTTGTTTTGTTTTCATTTTAGAGACAGAAAATGTTTGGTTTTTTTTTCATGTAAAGAGAGAGAGAGTGTCAAATATTTTTTTCTATAAATATGCCTTGAGATATAGCATGGAGATGCTTGTATTCAGCTGTGATCAAAGAGTGCATTAAATTGACTGTTAGCTCTTTATCCTCTCCAGTGTGTCTGGATGTCCCCTGGCTGACAAAACACTCAAATCACTGATGGCAGCCAACTCTCAGGAACTAAAGTATGTCTTTTCACAAGCGCTATTGTTGCTAAAGGATTATTCACGTCAGTAGAGGCAGCTTGTTTATGCCTCATCTGCTTACTTATATTTGTTGCTTCCTTTTCCCTTTTTCATTTTTTTCTTTCTTTCCACTTTTGATAGTTTTTTTTCTTCTTTACAATTCAATTCCACATGCCTTTCCTTTCATTTTGCATTCCCATCTCATTCTTCTCATTTTTCTTGTTTCTTTCTGCTGTCTTTTCTTCTCTTTTTTGTCTTCTTTTTCTGTTGTGCTTTTTTATATGTTTTTCTACGTTCTCTCTTTTTTGTCTTCTTTTTCTGTTGTGATTTTTTATGTTTTTCTACTTTCTTTTTTCCATTCTTTACTTTCTTTTCTTGTATTCAATTTTTTTTCCTTGTCCTTTACTTTACTAACCACTCTTCTCGTTCCTGTCCTCTTTTGTCCTCTTCTTTCCTTCCTTTCCTTCCTTTCCTTTCCTTTCTTTCCCTTCCTTTTCTCTTCTTTCCTTTCTTTCTTTTTCTTTTCCTTTCCTTCCTTTCTCTTTATGTATAATAGAAGACATATATTTTAGCTGTTGACATCTGCAGTAAACTAAACTCTCTCTCTCTCTTTCTTTCTTTCTCTCTCTCTCTCTCTCTTTCTCTCTCTCACTCTCTCTTTCTCCCTCTCCCTCCGTGTCGTCTCTCTGTCCTCGTCTCTGTCCATGTCTGTTGTCCTGCAGGTGTCCAACACCTGGTTGTGATGGCTCTGGACATGTGACTGGAAACTATGCTTCACACAGAAGGTACCAGAAGAAGAAAACACACTCACTCACTGCTGAGTATCAGCTACATTAGTCAGATGTATAACATTCAAACAGATGGTGAAAGTCTCACTCTGTGCTGCAGACACACTGCACTTTTTAAGCCGCTCGTCTTACAGATTCTTTTGGCTGCAACCAAAGTTACATCTAACATGTCGACTGGCTCAAACGTGTCGAGTTCAACTCTCTGTATTTCAGTAGATTTGATCTAACATTAACCCAGAGTCTTTTTAACCATCTGTAGCTTGTCAGGATGTCCCCGTGCCAGAAAGGGAGGTTTGAAGCTGACACCAAACAAGGATGAAAAAGATGATACAGAACTGAAGTAAGATTTTTATTTTTTATTTTTAAATCAGTCTCTTTAAAAAAAAAAACACAAAAAAACCCATATAAACATAAATTGTACTTTTTGGAGCATTTACACCTGGAGACCATGGAAAGAAAATAAAACGTTCCCTTCACATCATCAGCGATTATTTACCAAGAATTATTATGTTATGTTTTTTTTTTTAAAGGATTTTGTTTCTTTTATTTTCCCAATGGCAAATCTGGCTCATCACTCCTCTCTGAGAGCTTTCTTTATAATTGTGATGAACAAAGAAATCATGTTGAAATGCCTGCACTTATTTAGAGCTTAATCGCTGTTGTTTGTAAAGTGTGATTGAAAAAAAAAAAAATACAATTAATGTGGAGTTTAAATCCAAAGTCAGACACATGAGCCTTTGTTTACTTATACATCTGGACAATGATTTTTTTCTTTATAATTACTTATGCAAAGGGCATGAACGTAGGAATTAGACTGGAATAGATCTCATACACATTAAGAGTGAAAGGGAGAGACCGGGGGGGCGGGGAGTCCCCAGATTATTGTAAACAGTGGGCCATATGGCATGGCTCCATTGTCCTGATGCTATGCATCAAGCCACCTACCTGTGGTAAATGTAAGTAATGGCACTGGTGGTGTTTTGTTCTCTGAGTGCTGTCGAGAACAAATCGCTGAAACTGTTTTTTTTTTTGTTTTTTTTTCTCCTTTTCCCGCCGCAGCACTCGACTGCATGTGTGCCATTTGTATCATCTCTGCTGAACTTTCACCTTTGTCAATAAGGGAAAGGGTCGTCCACCTCCGAATCACATTCTTTCGCATGATGGGATACATGACAATTATCTGTAATTCATGTCACTCCATTACTGACCTGCAAAACACAGGCCTGGAACTCAGTCGTAATCAACATGATTGTATCGTGTGCTTCGGTGTTTTTCACCCATGTCAGGGTGTTTGCTCTGACCAGCACTAGTTCTGCACCAAGTTTCAGTGGATTAGTAACTTGGAATTAATGCGATTATTTGAGTCCATTTCTAGTTTGGGCGACTTAATTTTTAATCAGCATTTGTCTGGATTAATCAACATAATGGTGTACAAATCTTCCGGTCCAGTTATTGAAAAAGAGAATTTCATAAATCCCAGTGTGAAGTATGGTGCATTTGTTTTTATTATTATTTTGCAGTTTCATATGAAGTATTTTCAATCCTGTTTTATATAGAAATAAAACCTTTTTTCCTAAATTAAGTTCGTGAATCAGAGTAAATCAAAAAGTTGTAAGAATGATTTTATAGATTCAGTAAAAGCATGTGAAAAGCTAAGAAAAGTTTTATCATCATGTCTTTAACAAGTGTTGGGCTGAGTTACATTTTATTTTATCAAGATTTTAATGCTCAAAATTTACCAGTATTTATAGAATAAGAGAAAAAATAATTGTTTGTTTTTTTTAAGCAAACTTTAATGGAGAGTTTTGGTTTATGGTCCCCTGATACTTAAAAAAACATTGTAAAGAAACATTTCTACATCAAATAATGATTTCTCCGATGTAGACACTGCAGGGTCTCAGATTGTTTCTTACCTGTGGTTTTCCTTGTTAGGTGTCCAGTAATTGGCTGTGACGGACAGGGCCACATATCAGGAAAATACACATCCCATCGCAGTGCAGGCAGTTGTCCACTGGCTGCCAAAAGACAGAAGGAGTCGTCTATCAACGGTCTGCCGTTTCCCTGGAAGACCAACAAACAGGAACTGCCCCATTGTCCTCTGCCCGGCTGCAATGGCCTCGGACATGCCAATAATGTGTTTGCCACTCACAGAAGGTGAGAGCTCGAGGGTTTTCTTCTGTTTTTTTTGCTCTGAATTTCCAGTGTTGCACCTTTTCACTCGTCCGTGTACTGTCTGTGCTGTTAATAAAGTTTGACTGTTGTACTTGTCCAGTCTGTCGGGTTGTCCACTGAATGCACAGAACATCAAGAGGAAACACACCGAGGAGGAAATGATGACGATCAAGCTGAGAGCGAGCAGCGGTGAGACACTCCAAGCACAGTCTGACACCCTTTATTTTTTAACATATTCACAGCTCAATAGTTAATGAATAATGATGTCGAAATGAAGGCGTTAACCACTTTAAATCATTTGTGAAGATGAATCAGATTAAAACTTTTACCACATGTCAATGTCAGAGCAGAATGAGACACATTGTTAGTATTGAGGACAACCAGAGTTCTCAAAGCGTCTGTTGACGTGTTCTACAGTAATGACATAAATCCACGTTTTTCCATATTAATAATTTTATTTTATACAAATACTCATTTGTATTAGATTAATATAAAAATATGTGTTTGAATAATATTTAGAACAAAAGGGTTGTTGAATTTAGGAATGATGGTCAAGCTAAATTATGAATGCGATTAATCGTGATGTATGGTGATTATTCCACAGCTATCCGCTGATTAATCAGATTTTTAAATCGCTTAAGAGCCCCGTGACTAATAAGCTGTTTTGTCTATTTTCTCTCAGGTGTTGAAAACAAAGAAGACATGCAGCACTTGGACCACGAAATAAAGGAACTGAATGAATCAAACATGAAGATAGAAGCCGACATGATGCAGCTCCAAACACAGGTAAGTTTTTACTCTCACATTCTCTCCTTGGAGCCGGGGGCCCGATCTGTTTGTTCACTCAGTTTTCTTTACTTTTCTACACGAAAGCAGATCTCCTCGATGGAATGTAACCTGAGGACAATTGAGGAGGAGAACAAGATGATCGAGCAGCACAACGACAGCCTTCTGAAGGAACTGGCTCGCCTCAGCCAAGCTCTCATCAACAGCCTCACAGATATTCAGCTGCCTCAAATGGTAGAGTAAGCCCTGAAGACGGCCTTCAGGCCGGTCTTTAACCCCTGACCTGTCCTGGAGGAACACTTGTGCCCCCCCTACCTCTAAAAAAGTGTACCATAAATTTCCGCTGAACTGTTTTCACTAACTGTTGAACATGTTTTTGTTGCAGGGACCCATCAGTGAGCACAACTTTGAAGCCTATGTGAACACATTAACTGACATGTACAACAACTCGGAGCACGAATACTCTCCTGAGTGCAAGGCCCTGTTGGATAATATCAAACAGGCCATAAAGGGCATCCATGTTTAAGGTGCAGAGCGCCACCTGCAGGCGTCTTGACTACATAGCTCTATTTTACTGAGGAGTGCTGGCGTGGCTGCATGTATGAGAGGAAGCTTTTGGGAATGTTCTCTGGCACTTCCTGGAAAACACACTGCACTGGAGATAAAGAAAAAAAAAGTGGGCAGCCGGATCTGAGATACTTTTATTGTTTCTGTATTCACTTGATATGTTTAAATCCCTGCTGAGATTTTATTTTTTACCCCTATGGCACTTAATGATTGTGTATGGTTTGCTTGGTTTAAATCTGTTTGTGTTCACGTCATTCTTAAATTATCACTATTTATTATCTATATTATTCATATTATGATTATATCTGTTTGTCGGTGTATTTATTTCCTCCCGCTTTAATTTATTCCTCCAAAATCTGTAAATGCTGATGTTTTTTTTTCTGCACACTGTAAATGACATAGAAGCACATTCCAATTTCCGTGGCATACTTTTGCCATCTAGTGTTGAAAACCTTTTACTGTCGCTAAAATCAATGAACCACGAGTTGGTTTTTCCCTTCAGAGTAAAAGAAAGAAGAAGAATAATAAGAGAAAAATACTACCAAAATTACTAAGTATCATTGCTTTGACTTTGTTTATTGGAAACTGAATGTATGTGGAGCCATTGCAGATGCTTAGATTTTCAAGGAATGCAATGGAACTGTACTGTATCTATTTTCTCAAAGTACAACAATGAGGTGACACTGAGAGAAAACATGCAACATCACTCGGTGAGGTGAATGTTCAGAGGTTCTGATTTGTATTTCATGCTTCACAGAGTGAAACAAAAATCCACTTTGTCCAAATATCTTACTTTTTTTTTAAAAATATAGATATTATAACTGCCTTCTGTGCACACACCGTGGGGTGTGCATATAGTATGTGCCTAAATGTATATGAATTCATAAAAAATACAAGTACTATGTTTTGTGGTAGGACAGTATTATGTGAATGGTGTCTAATTTATTCTACAGTACAATTATTTTTCATAGAAGGGAAACCTTCCTGATGACTGTTTATATACCCTTGTCTCAGTAGCTGTAATCCCACAGTCGGAAGTCATGACTGGGATTATCACAAACTGGCTGTTTAATTTGAATTTTTGGCACCAGGCAAAGAGTAAGAAGTGAAGAGGAGATATTTACACACAAAAAAAGGGAGAAATCCATAACAGTTCCTATTTAAGTTCAAGCCTTAACTTTTGAAGCAGTTTAGATTCTTCTATCTTTTTAATGTTTTAATCACCAAATGCAAAATCTGGGATTTTAAAGAAGATGTTTGCTAATCTGATATTTGTTTGCTTCAATTGCACTTTTTTTCTTACTTATTTTAATTGTTAATGTTACCATACTGTTTTGATTCTAACCAACAGGACACTGCAGGTGTCACTATGTCACAATTTACTAAATCTAAAAGAGTATTTTAAAAAAGCGCAAACTTTTCATGTCTGTAGAGTGGTGTCAAGGATATGTAGCCCAGACATAGACTTACTACTAAAATAAAATGTTACAGCAAAAAGCCAAATCAGAGAAAAAACAAAAACATTCTATCAAAAATCCAGTGTTTTAAACATTTAAATCTTTGTCAATCAAATTGAATTCTTTTAAAAAGCCTTTATTATTATTATTTTTATTATTTAATTCTGGTACCACACATCGTTTGCTCAGGAAGTTTTGTGAATAATATTTTTCCCTATTAGTATTTTGGTGTTTTGTAATGTGAACTGCTTTTTTGTGGACTGATAGTATGATACAGAATTGTACTGTATTTCTTTTCTTTTACATCCAATTGTAACGCTTTATTTCTGGTTGTAGTAGTTTGTAAATTGAGACTTCCTATTACTTTTACTATTTCATAATAAACAGATATGCGCTGTGTTGTACAGTTTGTGTATGGTAGAAATAAACTTTTCAAACACTGCCTCAGGATTTACATTACTGTAAGGCTTTCAGCCTCACCTAGTGGTTAATCTTTAGTATTACATGCAAAACAGGAATAGCGTGGACGGAAATACATTTTGAATCATGGTATAAATGTACTAAAGCACTCAAATGTTTTTATTAGATACCTTATGAGGTACGCCAAGTATTATAATCGAATGTTTAATGTAGATTAGCATTGGTTTTTAAAGGGTAATTAAAAAGTCTGCCTGATTAAAATGCATAATTGTTTTAATATGTTGACATAGGCTACAATAAGAATTGAAGAAGTAATCCACACATTTCAGTAAATAAGGATACTAACCTCACCTATAAATATCTTATAACTCTAAATATTAACATTAATATTAATATGGAAGTACAGATAACACTTTCTAAATTAGACATTTTGACGTGTAAAACCACTGACAATGCAGTACTAATCACAATTTGTAGTTTAGATCAAGTTGATACATATGTTTTCTATCAATTGTCACAAGAGCTTATACAGTATAACAGTCATTAAAAGTTCATGTGAGTTGCTAAACCAGCTGTAGACATTCAACTGTATGTAATCAAATCAACCAATCAGATCGCCTGAGAAAAACGTAACCATGAGGTTCATGAGGGCGAAAAAAAAACAAACGATAAAGCATCACTTGATTCGGTTTACCAAATTAAAGTGCTTTAAACATGTCTTTACCTACATAAGAAAATACTACGATAAGTTGCTTTTTATTTTTAATTTTGCCTTAAAGCTTTTTCCATTTGCTTAAAAGTGAAAATTAGCCTATTCACGAGTATGAATTAAAAACTCTTGCAAAACCAGTTCTGTTTCATAGTCAGGTAAATAATCTCACCAGGCCACAACATGTGAAGGCGGTGCATTAGCAACAGGCCTACCATGTGTACATCATTCAGAATATGAGTCCGTCTGCTGACACCCCATCCATCCAACCCAGAAGCAGCCCCTTCAATCTCCCCCTCGGCCATAGCTGTCCTTGAAGCTGTATATAGCATGTGGCCTATATTATTATGACATGTTGTTTACACTGTATTTATGCTGTGTGTGTAAAATGTGAGAGCACTCCAGACATACAGTGTTAGGTGACACTGCATACACTGGTGTGACCTCTGCTAAGTTAACTGACTGAGAGGGAGTTTTTGAAATAAAGTTAACTTCATATTTATCTAAAAAAGCAGGATGAAATTAAATAAAACGTTTTGTAAATATTAAAAATGCTTTTGTCTGATTATGTAACATGGGTTTTAAGGCCTTCAGGCCTTCAAAGAGTTCATGTCTCATTACTCAGTGGAGAAAAAAAAAAGACTGACAGAACACTGAGTTTCATAGAGTACATATACAACCGACAGTTTTATGTGCTGAACAATAACTGCAAAAGAGGGAATTAAACAAGCGACGTTCTAAGGCGGTGTTGCTGAAACTGGGTCAAACTTAAAAGAGGGAAATGCTGATCTTGTCAGGCCACATTGGGTCATGAGAGAAATGACTCATGATTCTGGATGAGGAGGTATTGAGTTAACACAGGGACTTAAATGAACCCGAATCAAACACTTTTAATTGTTTATTTTAGACAGATAGATAGATAGAACAGGTGGATAAATATTTTTAGACAGTTTTTCAACTAAAAGAAAAAGCCTGCTCTGTGACAGCTGACCTGTCCAAAACAGAATTCATCTGCCAAGCACAAATGTTTCCTTATTAAACCTCTTGTCATCTATTCCTAGCAGAGAACTGACCAAGTGTGTGCTAAATTTAGGGCTTTCCTTAAAGGAAATGTGCAGAGCTACCAAAGTGAAAGCTTTTATTTTTGTTACTGTGCACATTGTTTGTCAATGCCAGTAGAAATCAGGTCGACTATTATTGCAGTCACACAAATTTCCCCTCCTGCATTGGCTTTAGTGTTTGTATTCATCTGTATGTGTTACATTGTCAATGAATTGGTTAAAAGTTGGGCCAAAAAATGTGACACTTCTGACCATTTTTTAAAAAAAAAATCTTTACTAGTGCTCTAACTTTGTTTTTTGTAATGTGATCAAAGCGAAATTAAATCTGCTCACGTTTCCCAAAAATAGAATTGTTTGCATTTGCCGGTAAGCTTGAATGTTGCGGACGTGTATGTATAAACAAATGTAGACGTATATGAACAGCCAGAGAAGCAACAGCGTTGACCACGTGATCTGTGTTTACATCCTCAGCTCAGCTGTTTCTCTCTTCCTCCACTTCGACGCTGTGGCTCGTCCTCACTGTTTCGCCTTCTGCTCACAAAGATCCTAGTTAGTCAGTTTACAAGTCGTCGACCTGTGCTGGAGGTTTTTTATAACCTTCTGTCTGCGCGACTGTCATTGACCGTCGCAGTGCACAGCTCACCCACAAACCAGGAGTGAGTTAATGCGCCACGACACTGTGAGTATTTATAATTTCTTTGTTTAAATCACCGAACAAAAGGTCGTGTATGGTGTGTTCGCATCTATATCCTTTGTCACGGACAGTTTGATCATGTTTGGCGAATTTAGGAGGACATAAAGTGCGTGCGTGTTAGTACGTGTGCCTTGTGTGTTGGCAGGATAAAGTGTTACCTCGCTAACCTGCTTTGTCTGTGATGTGATGATGGCGCACTCAGGCCCACAGCCGCAGCTGCTAACGTTAGCCAGCTTTACTTTAGCTCACTCTGCACTCACATTCTCACAGCTTAGTTTTATAAACCTGCAAATCACATCGGTCAGTGTAGGAGAGTTTGCAACATCGGTGCATGTTTTATTTGTAAATATAAGCGACTGTTAGTGTGAAGTGGCAGCTGAAGCGGAGAGTTTGGTTCCATCAGGCGGAAGAGGATTTAAGATAAGAAAAAACAGCCCCCCTCTCCCAAACTATATACTCTGAGCTTTTGTTTTATAAATTGCAAGTTGCTACTTTTAAGACTAAGTGTTTTGCGTGATTGTGTTCACAGTTCAAGCCTGTGTCGATGTGCGTTGCAGGGAAATGTACGGAAACTGCGCTTTTGTCAACATAATCACCATATGAACGCACTTTGACAAACACAGGCTGTATGTCAGCTTTGTGTAATCAATCACAGTTTTTCCACAAAGCAGTGGTTCACACACTTTCAGCCATGATCAACGTTTTAATTGCATATCTTGTGAAAACGCTGCTGCTGTTGTTGTTTTGCTCAGTCGTCAGCAGCAGTGTGGGGACACACTTCTGCACACCGATTGGCTGACGGGCCGCCGTCTGTGTGGCAACTACGTCACGTGGCCAGTCACCGCGCTGATTGGTTGCATCAGGTGTCAATTAACTCGATTTAGTCACATCCGCAAAAGTTAGTGTTTTAAAATTGATACATATTCAATTTGGCACTAATTTCAACAACAATAATTTAAAAAAAAAACAAAAAACTATTTAATGACCTTAGAAATTAAGAACTATTATTTTTTTAATATCAATAAAAGTCCTCTCTTATTTACATTAGGAGTAGGATATGAATTATGCCATGTCAGGTTCCCAGCTGCCAAGGTCTGGAACACACTTCCAGGTGTTATCAGTTAAGAAAGAAATGATTAAAATATTAATTTCATTTTATGTGTTATCCTTGTTGATGTTTTATTTTTGAAAAAATTGCCCAATTCTCTTACAATTGTATGCTTTCCTGCTTCTTCATCCTTATCAGGTCATATCAAGTCACCAAAAATAGGGAAAAGGCTCAACGAGGAGAGACCACCAACACCCAAAAAGCAACAATTACAAGACATTACCAGCTGTCCAACCTAAGGTACAGGTTTGTAAAAAAAAAAAAAAGAGATACATAACTTTGTTTTATGCAGGTGTGGATGTGCAGTTTCATGTTTCTGGTACCATGGAAAACCTGTTTCCAGGAGTAAGTACATGCTTCCTGACAGTAAAAGGGTATGGTTTAGTAAAAAAAAAAACACGTTTTATGTTTTATGGCGCCCCCTGCAGAAACCACAGTAATTCCTGGAGGCTTATTTAACGGCTAAATATAATTTGTTAATGTTGTCAATTGAAAGAAGTGGAAAACAATTGGCAGAAATGGGCGAAAATCATGTTCTGATTTTCGCCCATTTTGTGTTGAAAAAGTTGAGATGTTGAAAAAGTCAAAGATTTAATCACCAAAGAGCAGAGATATTCCACAAACTAAAAAAAATGAACACTTAATAATATGTAATAATAATAATATGGAATATAATGGAAAACCTATTAAATAATTTCATATTGTCCTAACATATTCCCATTGTCTGTCTGTAGTCAGTGTGGCAGCACACACGCCTTTTAATTGTCACATCCCTTTTCTGTTTGTTTCTAATTAGTGCACAGTCTAGTGGTCAGATTCACATCGACAGGAATTTAAGACTCCCCTTTAATTAAATCTGAATGCACAACTTGCCCGAGGGTGGGACTAGTGGCAAATTCTTATGATTGCTTTGATTTGAAATAGTTATTCACTGTTGGGGAAAAAGAAACTCTTCAGAGACTTGGCAACCAGTCTTATATTGTCTTATAGTAGTCTCATTATAGTGAAAAGATCATTAAAGTCTGTTAGTAGTAATAAAGCTATAGTTCTCCATATGATACTTTCAAGCTGTGTAAGTACATTTGAAGAAATCCCCCTACAAAGCCACGGATATTTGTTAAGTAAAAGTAGTGAAGAGGAAAATGACTTACTAGACTGTGGCAAAGTGCTACAATTTTGTTCAGTTTGTATATTCAGTTTTATTTTGGAGTGTTTTTAGATTCTACAAGGAACATGTTAAATATTCTGAATATATAAATCATGTAGCTTTCCCTTTCCCGCCTGTAAAATATGCTAGGACAATGATGCTCATAGAGATAACCTTGTACATTTAATTATTTCCATTCTCAAAATGTACTTGCCATACACTAGATAACATATTGTTTCTCAAATTGGGGCAAGGGCCACTCCCTAGAGACACCGAGCTGTTGCAAAGGAAAGTAAATTTTTTTTTTTTTTTTTAAGTTTTGGCCACAGTAAGAAAATTGCAATGGTTGTAAAAATGTCAGAAAAAACTGTGAATGGTTCTTTGTCTCTGTATGTGAGCCCTGTGGTGAACTGTGCAATACTCTGCCCTCACCCATTGACTGCTTCTCTCACCCAATGGCTGCTGGGATTGGCTCCAACTCCACAGCAACCATTAAAAGTAGGTTTTAGAGAAGAATGAGTGAAAAGTCAAGGAAGAAGTCGCAGCACCTCACCATAGACTGACCATATGTCCATATTGCCCCCCTACAGATTGAGTGCTGCCTGTTATCTACTGCCTTAACACAAACCTGGCCTGTTTTGCTGAATCTGACAGAATTTCAACAGGCGAATTTCATCAATCCTCCATATTTCCCAAACCCCTTGCAAAAAGAAAGTACTCTCAGCTCTTTGCAGAACACACTGGATAAGGAGAGATTTTAACAGCGTCAACAGATAGAAAGTTAAAGCCAGACGTTGACAGCTCTTGTCTTGCTGAAACAAACCCCACAGTTACAGCTCTACCGTCTGATACAATCCAGTGCAACAGTTTAGATTCAGAGTAAATGTTACAGTTAGAGCTGACACTTGTAAGTCTTATAATATTTGCTGTGCTTTTACAAACCTGATAAAACCCAGAGTATTAGAAAGGCATCAGAATATTCAAGTCAACTGAGTCCAACGCCAACCCAGACTTAGACTCGCCGTGCTCTAGTAGTCCATGTGTCACGGCTTTGCCGCCTAGAAAGGCTGTTGGTATTCAGTTACAGGATCAGAGGTGATCTCATGTCACTGGAGTCTCAGTTGCATGTTTAGTCATCCTGCATAGTTCAGTGGGGTGTCCCCAAATCGGGTCACAGGACGTGTTGCAGACTAAAATGCCTTCAAGGGGTAAAGCCAGGACAACCTGACGGTGTTTACCAATAGGCTACTGATTATAAAGAAATATTCTTTGTGAAGCTCTCTTTCCTGTTCTGGCCCAGCTGATCCATTTGACCCAGAAGAGTGAATGAACTGTTTCAGGACTAGTTTATCATTGGTCTAAACATACAGTGAGGTGACAGAACACCTCACTCACCTGACCCACTTCGTGGATCTCCGGTCTGCTGCAGGCGACTAGGAAGACAAAAAAATGCAGAGGGAAAAACTGAGATTAAAATATATGCTGTTTATCTGCCATAGTAAATCAATCAGTGTCTTTGAGTCAGTGTAAAAAGAAGCCAGCGAAAAATTACCTTACAGGCCCTTCTACTACAAAGTCACCCCTGAATTTTGTCACTGTTAGCTGACTCAGATGTGGAGTTGCTGAGGAGGCAGAGAGGGAAACTCAAGACGTGGTTGACTCCTCTGTATCCTCAGCTACTCTCAGCCTCAGGCAGTGTGGAATATATTTGTTATCAAAACAACAATAAAAATGTTAAATCATTAGCATGTGAGGACTCTTCTCTTTACCGCTCTAATGAGGTGTTAACAGTGAAGTGTACTCTAAAAAAAAGTCAAATGTCATATTTTTATAACTTTAAAAGCTCTGGCCGACATTTGCATAGTGCATACTTCAGCAAAAACAGCAACTCACAGCACTGGCTCCCAAACCCTTTTGGGCTTGGCTCATTAAAATAGATCTGTATGTGAGGCACAATTCACAAAAGTTAATGCCTTGGTGGAACACTTTTACCAAAGAACCTTTTTACCTTCTAAGACTGTTTAATCTGGCCTAAAGTGCATTAGGAATTCAGTCAAAGAATGATGAATAAATCAGAGCGAAGCCAACAGAAAGGAGGGAAAAATGATGTTATGCAAATCTGCGGCTGACCTTGTTTCACCTGCAACATTTTTATGTGTGCGAAAATTCAATTTTGGGTACAAAAGGTCAGCGCAATGCTGAATGTCAAAGACATTAATGGTATATGACGGAAGGACAAATGCAATAAATCCTACTGTCATAAAGGTTATTGTTTGGAAGCAAACAAGCTGCACTGAGAGTGAGGGCCGGCTGCTCTGCCTTCAGGAACCAGCACACGCGCTGCAGACTGTGGGAATGACTGCCATTTAACTGGCTGGTCAAAGAAATCTGCTTGTGATAAGGCATTGATCAATAAGGACATCTAGTGACATGTCTACATTGAAAACTACTGGTGATGCAATATACTGTACCTGTATCAGGCCCACTATTCCATCTTCATTCTGTTAGGATACGAACAATAATTATTTTAATTTTTATTATTTAAATAACCACCTGAAGATGTGCCTTTAGTGCCGAGAACACTGGTTTCTCATCTTTGTTTAACGACACACTGGTTAATGAGAGGTTTATACCTCACCAGGTCACATTTTAATTGAGACTCATTTAACCAACATTGTCTGGTAATTTGTTGATTAAAACGTGGAAGTAGTGCAACTGGGTTAAATGACATTTTTACTGAAAACTTGGAGATAATTGTTTTGAGTTGAATTGCAACCTTCGCTCTCTGTTCTGTTATTCCTTGTTTTATTAATATGTTATCTTATCTTTTGTGCTCAGATTGAAATAGCTGTTTTTTGTAGTTCTTCATATTTTTATAACTTTAAAAGCTCTGGCCGACATTTGCATAGTGCATACTTCAGCAAAAACAGCAACTCACAGCACTGGCTCCCAAACCCTTTTGGGCTTGGCTCATTAAAATAGATCTGTATGTGAGGCACAATTCACAAAAGTTAATGCCTTGGTGGAACACTTTTACCAAAGAACCTTTTTACCTTCTAAGACTGTTTAATCTGGCCTAAAGTGCATTAGGAATTCAGTCAAAGAATGATGAATAAATCAGAGCGAAGCCAACAGAAAGGAGGGAAAAATGATGTTATGCAAATCTGCGGCTGACCTTGTTTCACCTGCAACATTTTTATGTGTGCGAAAATTCAATTTTGGGTACAAAAGGTCAGCGCAATGCTGAATGTCAAAGACATTAATGGTATATGACGGAAGGACAAATGCAATAAATCCTACTGTCATAAAGGTTATTGTTTGGAAGCAAACAAGCTGCACTGAGAGTGAGGGCCGGCTGCTCTGCCTTCAGGAACCAGCACACGGCGCTGCAGACTGTGGGAATGACTGCCATTTAACTGGCTGGTCAAAGAAATCTGCTTGTGATAAGGCATTGATCAATAAGGACATCTAGTGACATGTCTACATTGAAAACTACTGGTGATGCAATATACTGTACCTGTATCAGGCCCACTATTCCATCTTCATTCTGTTAGGATACGAACAATAATTATTTTAATTTTTATTATTTAAATAACCACCTGAAGATGTGCCTTTAGTGCCGAGAACACTGGTTTCTCATCTTTGTTTAACGACACACTGGTTAATGAGAGGTTTATACCTCACCAGGTCACATTTTAATTGAGACTCATTTAACCAACATTGTCTGGTAATTTGTTGATTAAAACGTGGAAGTAGTGCAACTGGGTTAAATGACATTTTTACTGAAAACTTGGAGATAATTGTTTTGAGTTGAATTGCAACCTTCGCTCTCTGTTCTGTTATTCCTTGTTTTATTAATATGTTATCTTATCTTTTGTGCTCAGATTGAAATAGCTGTTTTTTGTAGTTCTATCTGTCCATGGATTTGCCCCCCCCCCCTCCCCCCCTCTCTCTCCATGTTTGCATGTCTTTTAACTCCCCAGATTCTGCCGCGTTCCTTGCAGATTGGCAATTAGGGTAATTGAAGCCCGATAAGTGACCGTGTGGGGTGAGAGCGCTTGTTTATGTCTGTATTTAGCCCTGTGATGGCAGCCTGTCCAGGGTGTTAACCTGCCTGTTGGCAATGTCAGCTCAGACTGGTTTCATCCTCCCTCTCGACCTTCAGCCGGATAAAGCGGGGGGGGGT